CAAACTTTACATACTATTCTCAAAAACTTTGACCAAGCTCTTCAGTTGGGCATTCACATATTCACAGGATCTATATATATTCTGATTCAACTCTACTAGGAACTCCCCTAACCAAGTGTATCCCCCTATATCTTCCTCTTCTTTAATTCTCTCAACAGCTTTCTAATAACTGCCCTTCTTCTCACTCTCATAGTTTTACCTGCTAGGCTTGGTCAGGCATGAATACACCCCGACTCTCTGCATTTTTGGATTTGTTCACCCACCACAAACAAGACTTACCCACAAATCAAGAAAAGCCCATGAAAGTGGGAAAATGGATGTCTTTACAATTTTGACCAAATTAGCAAAGCATGTTAGCCTGCCTGTCACCCTCAGCTCACAGAATACTGCAATTTAAAAAAGAAGGTACTCGGGAGGCTGAGGCAGGAGGATTGCTGTGAGTTCAAGACCAGCCTGGGCTACATAGTGAGTTCCAGGTCAGTCTCAACTACATAGTGAGAACCTGTCTCAAAACACCAAAAAATAAAAAAGAAGGTAGAACACAAAAAGCCAGGAAATACCCACATGTAGAGTTAGCCAAGCATTGGCCCAGAGGGCTACAAGTACTGAATTTTCCTTGGCATCTAGGGTGGAGGTGGCAGTTTATATTGTCAGCATGAAACCTAGAGAAAATGTCTGTATTTTTTTCTTTAATCCTAATTTTTAAGATCCAATTCAACCTCTCGATATAGCACTTATTCCTGTTATCATTCACTTTAGAATCTCATCATATTCCCCATAAACCCTAACTAATTGTACTCTCCAGTTAACACTTTTTAGTGTTATCACCTATATAACGGACTTACTGTTTATGACTTACACACAGTAGATGTACCCAGTCAACCATTTGTAGGAGAGCACTCCACATTACTCTATTAAAGAGCTTTTCATATAGCAGCATAATTAGTTTACATGTATCTTCTTCATCCAATAAAGACTATGAACTCCCTTAGGGGCCCTGTGCTAAGTAAGCTGCTTAGTACTGCTAAAGCCTAGCACAGTGCTTCACAAGAAAAGACAGTAAATAGTAAATCTTCTCAAGCTAATGAGTGAAAAACTATAAATTAGCTGAAAAAATTAGGACATGCTCTAGATCACAGATACCTAATTCATAGTCCATAAGCTGAACATAGACAAGAGACTTAGTTTTAAGTACAGTATGTGTACAATTCCTGTACAGTATTTAAGAAGACTAGAATTGGCAAAATTGTAAAATCACACGCACAATCCCAGATGTTTTGCTTCTGTTGGGGAAGACTATTCAACAATCTGTCATGTGCCCTAAAAGAAGAATTAATGAGAATAAAGTCGTTCCTTTTGCATTAGATAAGTACTCTTTAGATTGGTTCTTTTTTTTACAGTAATCATTTATGTCACCTGTCTAGCATTTACAAAGACTTAGGTTCAAAACCACTAATAAAGACACATGAACTGTAGTGGGAATGTAGCTCAAGGGTAGAGAGCTTTGCTAGCATGCTCAAGTACTGGGTTCTATTCCTAGCACTACAAATAAAGGAAGGAAAGACCAGTAAATCCCTGGTGGGCTTTCTTATTAAATGTTTAGCCATTTCTACTCCCTAGCCACCATATTCTCCCATTGCCAAACAAGGTTATCAAAATCTCTCATTCCAAATCTTGACAAGGAATCTATAGTGCTCAGAAGTAAAGACAGAAAAGAAAGAAAGCATAGCTTACATAAATCACTACAAATTGCTTAGACTGATGCTTTGATTAATGAGTCAAAAATTACAATGTATTTCCTCCACTGAAGTATTTTTTTAAATGGGCTCTTACCTAAAAGTATACTCTTAACAGTCACTTCTCATACTGAGAGCTAGTTAAAAGTTTATCTTGGCAAATTGAATTCAATTAATTTTCATGCAGTTTTTACAAAAGAAATCTCCAAATCAACTAACTCTAGTTCTAAATCTTCACTCTACCAGTCTCCAGCTAAGAAATTCTGCCCTTACTTAATTTCTTAAAGCTTCAATTTCCTTCTTTTTAATATAAACAACTGGACCAGGGACTTAGTCCAGGGGCATCATGCCTCCTTGGCAAGTGCAAGATCCTGAGTTCAATTCCCAAAAATAAATAAAGTAGATACTATTAATAAGTATTAATAGAGTATTAAGTATTAGCAGACACTTAATTAAGATTGCTGCATGGCTTAAGACAATGATAAAAAGCCCTCAGAATAGTTCCTGGTACATAGAAAACTGAAAATCCAACTACCATTTGAGTATTTATGTACAGAAATAAAAACTACTCAAGATCTCTTGATGAAAAAAATCTCTAAGCTTTACAATACTGGTTTTGTTGGTGGTGGTTTTTTCTTTTCTTTCTTTTTTTTTTTTTTTTTACCAGGGATCGAACTCAGGACCTTGATCTTGCAAGGCAGGCAGAACCACTGAGCTAAATCCCTGGCCCTACGATACCGTTTTAATAAGGTATGTGGAAATACAAAAAGAGATGCATAGTTAACATATGAGCTAAAATACTAATGCTAACTCGACAAAGGGCAAAAGAAAGTCCAAGGAGAAATAAGAGGACAACAAAAGCAAAACTCAAAGTGTTTACTTACCAAGGTAGCTAGTAAGTTGCAATGTACAGAAGAAAAATGAGCATATGTAAGAGGAGAGTAGCAAAAAAACAAAAGCAGGTTAAGTTAGCTGAAACTAGTAATCATAATGTAATTCCAACCATATTTACTGAAGCTTACTATGAAGAAAGCACTGTGTGCTAAGGCATGGCAAAGACAGAGATACATAAAAAGTTCAGTGTAATACAATCCCTTCCCTTCAGACACCTGAGTAGCTGCCACAGTGCACAGCACATCATAGGTGCATGATTAATCAGCAAATGTCTTTCATAAATGTAATCAAATGTAAAAGCAAAGATACTGAAGTAGGAAGGCTTAAGAAAAAATAAAGAATATCATGTAAGGGCTGGGTGTGGGGAGGCTGAGGTATGAGGATCACTGTGAATTTAAGATCAGCCTGGGCTACTTAAGTGAGTTCCATGTGAAGTCTGAAATATGTAGTGAGACCCTGTCTCAAAAAAGAGAAAGAGAGAGAAAACAGAATACCACCTAGAATACCTACACCTAAAATCCTACAGATCCCACTCTCCACATGAATATGCATGCACACATATGTATCACATGGCAGACATATGAAAATGAATAAAACATGTACAAAGATAAAACAAAGTTATATTATTTGTTGTATAACATAAATTAGCTGGTTAACTAATATGATAGTATACTAATAGGCTTCTTGAAGAAATGGTTAATTCCACAGCTGGAACTGGAAGGTACAAGATGATCCTGGAACATCTCTTGGTGCCAAAAAAGAAAGCACCAAAAAAGAATAGGACCAACCTGTAATAGTTCACAATAGTCAAAGCTATAACAATTTGAATGACAGTGACAGGACAAAAATGAAATAAATATTCCAAGTATGTACTATTATAAATACATGAAGAAAGAAAAGAACTTATACCGAAGAATATTAATAAATATAGAAGGAATGAAAGAAAAAATTATTACTAGAAAACAGTAAAAGTTTCTGCAGTTATTACCTACCAATGAATGCTAAAATCAGCAAAAGTTTAAGAAGAAACTGGGTATTTGCAAGTACTCAAAGAAAGTATCTCCTCCAAACAACTTATTTACAAAATAAGGGGCCACAGATGTAGCTCAGTGGTACAGCACCTGCCTGCTAAGTGCAAGGCCCTGAGTTCAATTTCAAATACAAAAAAAAAAAAAAAAAAAAAAACCCCAAGTGATACATTTTAACAGTACAGTTGAGAAACCTGGCAAACATTACCTAGCCATCCCAGTAATAAGACCCACTGACACTATGTATCATCTGACATGCAGAGGGCATATTACCTTCCTCCAAATACAGTACCCTCCATCTAATCATGAGAAAGTATCAGACAAATCCATATTGAGGGAAAATGCAAAATATCCAACAATTACTTATCAAAAGCGTTGAGGTATTAAAGACTCCCTCCCACCAAAAAAAAAAAAAAAAAAAAAAAGGCCATTCAGGAACCTTTACAAACTTCGAGGACTCTAAGGAAAAATGACAAGTAAATGCAATATGGGATTCTGGACTGGATCCTGGAACATAAAAGAACACTAGTGGCAAAAGTGATGAAATCTCAACAAAGCCTGTGATTCACTCAGTAGTTAATATCACGGTCTGAAGAGGATGGATATGATAAAAAAAAAAAATTATACGTACGTATTAAAAAGCCACAACCAAACCCGATATTTTGTAAAATTAATATATAGAGTGGTACCTCGATTCACAAATGCTCATGTTTGCAAACTCTGTACCGGGTGACAAACAATTACAACCATCTTTCCCACACAAACAAACATGGCCATCTTTTCCAAAATCAGAGAACAAATTAAGTTCATGAACCAAGGCACCAAAGTACTAATAAAATATACATGGAAAGGGAAAAACAGTACCTGATCAGTAACTTTATACCAGTATTCATTTCTTGGTTTTTTTAATTATACTGTAGTTATGTAAAATCTTAACAATAGAGGAAGCTGATAAAACATACAGTTCAGGAGAATCTCCTTTAGTAATTTTGTAACTCCTGTAATAAATCTGAATGTCATTCAAAATAAAGTTTTTTTAAAGATGTGAATGTTAAAACAGTATTACTTTTTTTTACCTTGACTCACTAGCAACTTATCTGCATTGTTAAGTATTGTAGGCTACTGAAGACAACATTCTCACTGTTTTACAAAGTAAAGCTCTAACAGTTTACCAAATGTACATTAGTCACCTAAACTTAAAAAAATTTCCATTCGAAATTCTAAAAATGATGAATAAGAATTGCATCTTCCATTGAGCTTCCTGAAATCTTTACTTTCAACAGCAGTCAGTACTATTACCATTGCTACTGCACAAAAATAGTAATTTAAGTAAAATCCTTACCTTCCAACCACTGCCAGCCTCTCTATAATATGGGAAGTTATCACAAATCCACTGGTAAATCTCACTTAAAGTCATTTTCTTTTTGGGTGAGCTATTAATAGCAAACGTAATGAGGCTGGCATAACTGTATGGAGGTTTCCCATCTTTGTGCTGTTGAACTTCTTCCTGGTCCAGAGTTGTATTTGGGTCAAGGAGTGCATTCTTCTTAGAAATTCCTGTTCCATGTGCATTTTGTGTCGCATCAGATTTTTGGATGGCTGCTCTCATGGTGAGCTGTGGTAACCAGTCCATAGATGTTAGGCTGCTCTCCAGTTCAGATGTCATCCTGAAGGTAAATAGACTTCTTAGTCAATATCAAGGAAAGAACCCCTGCTTCTCAAAATAATCCAATATTCACAAATCTAGGTGTTCCAAAGTGAGGGAAAGTCTGAGTTAAATCTGGAGGAAAAAGATTGAGTATGTTAATAACCAAATCAAATATTTAAAGGATCAACATTTCCAATCTTTTTTCTTAATTTGCTTCTCTTCAAAACATAACAAACATGTTTTGAGAGTGTTTACAATACATATACACAAAGTAGTGCTGATGGAAATCTTTCTAGTAAAGAATGTCTGCCACTTTAATAGGGCAACAAGATCTTGGTACAAAAAACTCCATCTGCAGCTTACCTGCTTACACATCAAACGACCACAAACTCTTAAAAACTTAGGACTACAGATCTTTCATATAAATTTTAGGGGAGTCATACAAACAGAAATACTAAAAGTTAAACTGAAGGCAAAAAGTCATAGAGGTAACTGAGAAATCACACAGGAATTTGCATGGAGGAAAGAAGGTATTGAGCAGGTGGGAGGTAGGAAGAGTAAAGCACCACAGACAAGAATAGCAAAAAGACAACCTAACTGAAGGAAATGACTAAAAAGAGGAATGCAAAGTCAAGGACACTGGTGATCAAGTAAAGAGGAGGATAGGCAGTACTAGGAAGTAATTAAAAGAAAAATGTCAAGAGGGAGGGAAGGGAGGGGGCAGGGGATAGGGAAAAAATAAGAACCAAGATACATTCATGTAAAAGTACAAGATCCCAACGATGAATGTAACTGTGTTGTATACCTAAAATGTACCAATAAACTTCATGGAAAAAAAAAAAGAAAAATGTGAAGAGACCAGCTTATAAAAATTAAGATCTAGGAACATATAAGAGATTAAATCATATAAATGGCCAGGAAGAAAAGCATTACAAGATTAAGGACAGGCTTGGGAAAATGTCCAGTAGTATAGATTCTCTGATGTATTTATCTTCCAGGGTACAATATTCAAACCATTACCACTCAAAGAAAAGAATACAAAATCTGCCACGTTAACACATATTTGAGAAAAGGAAAGAAGCTATTTTCAGAACTGAAGAAGAGAATATATAAAGGAAATTTGACAGTTCACAATGAAATTGTTAACGTTCAGCAGAGATGTAAGACCATCTATCCTGGGCTCAAAAAGCAAGAATTATGACCCTGGCAATACAATAGAGAAGAATGAAATGATTTGTAAGTGATATAAAAATAAAGGGAAAAAAGAAAATAAAGCATCTCCATCAAAAGAAAACATTGGGCAGTGATTCCACCACCTGCCTCGCAAGCCCAAGGACCCAAGTTTGATCCCTAGTACCAAAAAAAAAAAGAGAAAGAAAGCATTTGGGGTTAAGCATGTAATGTAGCTCAGTGGGAGTGGGCTTACCAAGCATGCGAAACGGTCTGAGTTCAATACTCAGGAATGTGTCCCCTCCAAAACTGTGGCTAAGAAAATTCTATACAGACCCCTTATCCCAAATGGCTCCTAGTGGAAAGCAGCTTGCAATATTCTTAAGTAGAATATAAACTTCTAGAAGGCAATATAGAATTAATAAGGAAGATAGGCTATGGAATCAGCGAGATCAGAATTCAAGTACACCTTCCAATAGTTCGTAGCTGTAGGACTGTGAAAATGTTCGTTATCTCTTAACCCCAACTTTTTCATCTGTAAAATGAAACAGTAATACCATGGTTAAAATATTACTTTGAAAATTAAATGTGATAACATATAAACAGAAAATATTCAATCTAGGAGTATCTTGAGAGGAAAACTAATGTACAATAAAGTAAACTAGAGTAAGCAACTGCAATTATAAACCAAGAGACAGCTATGAGGATTCTGCATTACCAGTAAAGAGTTCTGTAACTATCTTGCTTTTCTGATATTGATTCAGTTTTGCCTTCCAAATCTTCTCAAATTCTCTCCTTCTCTAGTATATGCATTTTTTGAAATTTAAGCTTTAAATTTTCCCAAATAGCACCTTCAAAGATTAAAAAAAAAAAAACCTACCATCCTATAATAATCAGAAATGACTGATCCAGTTATGAAAAAAGTTATATGGACTTAAGAATAGAGACAGGATATTTAGAACCTACCATCCTATAATAATCAAAAATGACTGATCCAGTTATGAAAAAAGTTATATGGACTTAAGAATAGAGACAGGATATTTAGAGATCACACAATATCATATGAGTAAGGAAAGTATCCCAGAGAGTATAACTAATCTCTTCAACTAAAGATGAAAAATTAAGATGTGCGACCGCCTAGATCACACAATATCATATGAGTAAGGAAAGTACCCCAGAGATTAAAACTAATTGCTTCAACTAAAGATGAAAAATTAAGATGTGCCGCCACCTACTTTGCAAGCACAAGGTCCCAAGTTCAATCCCCGGTACCAAAAAAAAAAAAAAAAGATAAAGTTAAAGGCTCACCCAATTCCACACAGTACCCAGAAAAACTAAAACAGATCTTAATCAGATCTATTGGTTCCCAATCCTTTTCTACCATAGCTCATCTTTAAATAGAGGATGATAATTGAAACAAGACTACCAGATATAAAAATAAAGCACTCAGAACATTTTCAGGCAAACAGTGTTTAAAGAATGTTAGCTACTGACGTGGTGGTAATAACACTAGTTTTGCTATTATTATTAACGCTTCATTCACAATAAACACTGGCTAGTATTACACACTAATCTCCACTAGAGCTTTATTTTGTTCAAATTGGCAAAGCACCCAGTCACATATGCTTTCAAACTTAATGTAAGAGCATGAATCCACACTGGAATATAATTCTTATTGCAGATACCCTCTACTGAAAACCACCTTTACTTTCTCTTCCTGTCCACCAGTTCAAGTAATGAGACCTTATGAGTCTCAATGAAATAAACATAAATAGATTTTTAAATGTGCTATAATATATTTAAAAAGAATTTAATATTTTGTATGTGTACAGAGCCACGCCAGAGGAAGGAATTTATAGTTCAATCAGGAAGTGCAAATACAAGAAAAAGTTAATCAAAGAACAAAACTGAGCTCTAAAGTTCAGAAAAGGGAGTGAAGTAACATGGAGTGCCATCTTAAAAGGAGAAAATAAGAACTTCAACAAAGCCTTGAAGAAAGTTAAAACCTAAGTAGACTACAAAGAAAAGGGTCCCTAGTCTTCAAAGACATCCTACGTAAGAACTGTGCTCACATTCATTTGTTCTGCTAGACCAAATTTCAAATACACTATAAAATGTATCTGAAACTGAAAAGATGGAAATTATTTTGTATATAAATAATTAAACTGTATGTATTCTTGGTTTTGAGGTAAAAAGTGCTCCTATTTTGGTGCTTACACTGGTGGCTAAGTAATTTCCCATTAAGCAGAAACACAAAATATGACCATTACATTTGGCCTGATCACCAGTAACTTTAGAAGGAAACCTATTAGTGGAATGGTGATGACACTTGCAGATGAGAACAGATGGTGGTAAATTTAAAAACAGCATGGAAAGCTCTGGGGAATCTGGTTATGGAAATCTGGTTAAGAAATGTCAGGCCCTCATTACTTCACCTCATTCCAAAAGCTTCCTAGTCAACCTCCTGGACTCTTGATTTCTCACCATCCTCCCTGCTAATCACCTCAAGTCCATGCATATACTCCAAGAGAAATCTGTCAACATTGCTTTCATACCATTACATCCAAACATTTTCTATGTCTCCCCTTCTCCTATTCTGCTAAGTCTAAACTCATTTACAACTACTTTAGCTTATATTAATCCTTCTCTAACCTCAATTTGGCATTTTACGTGCTGCTTTATATACATAGTTGGATTACAAGCCTAAGCTGTCTACTCTCATCTCTCTTTCTCGACTCCCCGCTTCCCATAGAGGATAGTGATCATACACTAGTATTTCTAATGCTACCAATACCACGCCAGGTACAAAATATTTTTAAAATAACATAGTAACTAGGAATAATCTTTTCTGGAATGTCCCTTCCTTCTCACTTTGCCTGGGTAGCTTCTACTTGTCCTTCAAGACACCAACCAAACATCTCCCATTACAGAAGCCTGGTCAATATCCTCTCTCTGCCTTCCATCTTCTTAGCAGAATTAGATCCTGCTCCTATAATAGGGTATCACAGTATTTCTACAGAAATGTAATTATCTTTACTATTAAGGAGACTCAGCTCCTTGAAAGAAATTTTCATGACTGAAATAGCAACTGCTCAACAAAGGTGTAGGCAAGCGTCTCCCATATCAATAACACCTGTTACAAGCCAAAACACTTGTTAAATGCTGAAAGAGGTCAGAGTGAGGACTTAAAAGAGAAGGATACTTATAGAATCAGTCTTTTCTAAGTTGAAAGAAGTATGACTCAGAACACAGACTAATAGGCAGCCTACACTGAAACAAAAACAGTTCTACTGGGATGGCAGAGAAAACTGAGAAGATAATAGCAAAGATAAAAGAACATGTTACTTGTAGGAGAAAGCAAAGCATGGAGAACTTATGTCTGAAGTTCTTCAATCTATGATGGTTATTTGATTAAAAGAACTTCAGTAAAGAGTTTTATTAAAATTAAAAGGGTAAGGAGTATTAAGATGCAACAGCTCAAAACCAAGTCATTTAGTCAAAAGTAAGACTTAATAAAATAGTATCTCTTATGTGATCTCATATATGTTTTAAGCTGCTGTACCACACTGCTTGGGCCTCACTCTGTAACTATCCTAATTCTCAGGGAGTAGCAAAGTCTTACTCAGAAGTTTCCAAATTCCAACAATATCAAAAGGTATAGGGAAACAGTAAGAGATATTTTCTCCCTAAACAGAGTAAGAGGAAAAACACCAGTAAAATGTAAGGAATAAGAATAATGGTAAGGATAATAATCTTGTGACCCAAATATTATGGAATCCTCCCACTCCATTCCTGGCACATGGCATTTTACTGTAAGACTTGGCAGCACATGAAAAATTGGGCAAATGA